ATGGACAGTGGCTACAGCCATGTCCCATAGTCTATGCAGCTGCTTCCCAAAGTCTATGTAGCCACTTCCCATAGACTATGTTCCAATAGTCTATGGGAAGGAGCTGTAGCCGCTTCCCATAGTTTATGCAGTCGCTTCCCATAGTCCAAACAGCCGCTTCCCATAGTCCAAACAGGCACTTCCCATAGTCTATGTAGCCGCTTCCCATAGTCTATGTTCCCATAGTCTATGGGAAGTGGCTGCATAGTCTGGAGGGGCTGCAGCCGCTTCCCATAGTCTGAAGAGGCTGGAGCCGCTTCCCATAGACTCGGGTGTAATTTCAAGCCAGGGCCAAGTAATTCGGACAAGCCCAACTTCCAATTTTGGCAAAAGTCCTACTCGAAAAACCTTTCAATGTTTTGTTTACCACTCCTACTGTAATAACAAAATTTGTACAGAATATCTCTTACTTGCTATTGTTGTCAATAGTAAACCACACAATGAAAATATGTACATTCGTTTTGTCAGTTTAAAAAACCACAAATTTCAAGAATTCTTCAAAGCTACATCAGAAGAATGTTTTTTCTTCAAAATGCTACATAGCACAATCCACACATTTAAGTTGTTTCATCACGCCGTGCATGCATGCAAAAATACCGAAACGAATTCAAAAAGTCACACGGGCGAACAGTAAAACATTAAAAATTTCAAATGCAGTTGATATATATATATTTGAATGGACATTTGCAGTGTTATTGTATTGAGAACGCCATAAATAATTATTTCAGTAGGCCAGTTCGAAAACAACAGGCAAAGTCATATACAGGTGAGTAACGTTATAAGATGTATATTTAAAGCAGTAATTACAATTAAATTATTCACAGATAAACAGGCTCAATGCACACAAAAAAAACGTCAGTTTTCTTGACTGACAACTTTGTGACAAGCATTTTGGCAATCTCTCCTACAAGTGCTTTTCCGAGTTAAAAAAAATAAGTGCAGTTCGCAAAATGTTTGTACAGGCTGCGAAAAAAGGAAAGCAAAGTTGTGTTGGCGACCAGCCAAAAAACCCATGTGCAAAGTATGGATTTTTTTTGTTTAGCTGGTAACCAACATAACCCGCTTGCTACTGCCAACTACATGTGCGCTAGCCGCGTCCAATTTGGGCATTTGACGTCTGTGGCTACGACCTTTCACTGTTGCATGCCAGTGGTGAAAAGCCGAGTCTTAGCCACCAAACACTTGATTTTGAACACATGCAACCTAACATCTACACTGCTAGCTTCAAAAATCCAAAATGAATATATACAAGAAACGACAACATGTTATTCAGAAAATGGGCTAAAATGTTTCCCAACGGTATAGTAAATTCAATTCGTCATTCCTATCATACATACGGAGAAAAAGTGTTCAGAGCACAAACTTATGATTATAATACACTTTATCCGGAAAAATTACTTGATATTTAACTCTAACTCCCTACTGAGTTTTACTAAGAACAGTACCAAGTCCGTCAAAATCCATCACTGACTCTGCTTCACATAATGCTCCAGGACCAAACCCCATGAAAATCCTCCACAAAATCTACCACTGCTACGGGTATTGGTGGATTTTGATGGACTTGGTACACATGGCTTGCCTACCAAAATCCCACCAAATGGGGGGATGAACTTTAATGGAGTTGGGAAGGTTTCAGAGAGCTATAATAAATTACTAGAGTGTTGGCTCCTTGTACAAAGTGATGCCTGCGGGGCGCATCTGTTTTTACGCACAAACCTATGGAAAAGTCAAAATTGGGTACGGCTTTTGTACGGCTATTTGCATATCTACGTTTGTATTCCATACCGGTGCGTTGCCGAAGCTGATTCGCCCAAAACCGAAACGCACGATCAGCAAATGAGCGTTTCATTTTGCTCTGCGCAAACAGTGCCAACGTGTGCGCGTATCTGCTGCAGATGATTTTTACCGTGACGTTTCTGAACCGTCATGAGTTGTTTGTGCATGTTCTACTTGTGCGTTGCATTTAGTGTACCAGGCTTGCAACTGGAAATTTAGAAAAAACAAGGAAACTCCAAACCACACAACATTTTGTACACTGTTTTTCAATTTGTAATGGCATTCATGAGAAGTAAAAAACGAGGAAAAATCAGTGGATCCGAGGAAAAGTTGCATGCCTGGTGTACACTTTCACAATTCAATCCATCTAATTTCGTTGTGTAATACAAACACGCACATGAATTCAAAGTCCGCGCATAAGAATGAGGAGTTAGCGCTCTAGTAATGTAATATAACTCTATGGAAGGTTTAGGGTTATTGTTTTTGTAGTTTGTTTAAGAAAATAGTCTTCTCTTAATACGTAGGCCATCTTTTCAAACGCCAAATTATTTGGATTTGTTTTTTTCAAACAGCTATATCATGTTCACTGAATGGATACTGCATTGTTGATAAATGTGCAGGAATCAAGTCAAAGTAGAACTTGCTTTGTAAGATGCAAACAAACTTTGTTAAAGTTGAGACCTTTTGTCCAAGTAGGCTGGTCCTTCACCCAATGGTTTGAATGTCCATGTGCTGACATCAGAAACAAGACCAAGGATGGCCTCCTACATCTACACGAAAAGTCTACAACTCCGGCCTACTGCAATGTTAATATTAAGGTCACCGAATGTCGCATGCGAAGAACAACTGGTTTAATTTTTTTTTAAATTACAAAACTCTCTTAAACTTCTCATCTCATTCGTAATATTTTTTTGGCTCAATTGATAACAAGCGTGCCTCAATCATGTGACACTCTCAATATTGCTACTCTGAATGTTTAACAATGCACCCTTTTTCTGGGGTGTAGTCAATCGCGAGTCCATCACAAGTTCCTGCAAGTCCCAATAAGGCCATTTGCGAGTGACTAATACATAGCTGCCAACATTTCAAAATCCCAATTAGTAATCAACCTGCGCGGTCATTTTCAACTTCTCGTTTTATCAAAAGCTTTACCAACATCGATACACATACATGTGCATACCCTTCTTGTTGTGAATAATAATGTACTGTAGGCTACTGTAGGCCAAAAGATAATTTATTTATTTTTTTTTTTTTTTAAATTAATTTTGTTTTAATGTCTGTATTTGTTTGTTGAAGTCAAATAAATAATAACATCAATAACATGTGCGCATATTTTTTTGGAGATGCATGCTATCGATGTTGAGTTTCGAGTTCGTATCATGTTTTTACACAAATTATCTATGGCCACCGTATGCAATAGAAATATCCCACCAACATACCTTGCAAACGCATGCTGATTTATCTTTTTCTGTCCGTTGTGACAAACTCAAACTCTAGTACCAATTATTCCAATCATACTCTTATTAAATTCCATGATTAAAATCTCGCACTGATGGGTCTCATTCCGGCAATAAGTGACTAAATGTGCTCACGATCGTCACTGAAATTACTCACATACAGTACACACATCCACGAGATGCACACAAATGACACACCATTGAAAAATAGTTTTAGTCTGGTCCTCAAGTACTCCACTGCGCACACTGCATTGATGTCTACCAGGTGCTTGACTGCATTCTTATTAGACTTGTCACCAGTCCATCCTTTATCGCGACATTTCATCTCGCCAGATGTTTTCGGTCAAAAACGATACTTTACATTTTTTTTTCGTTAGGTAGAAAATGGGAAATTCGTAATGTTTAAGTGGCAAATCGTATTTTCGTAATTTAACAAACAATTCGTAATAATTACGAAAAAATCGTACTAGTTGGCAGCTATGCTAATACCCTTTGGGATTTACATTTGAAAAACATCCGGTACACTGACTTGCTCAGAGTGCTTGGCACATTTTAACTTTGAATTCTGCAGACCAAAGACACTGTTGCTAATCACATGATTTTGGGGCAAGCTCTTGTATAGTTACGTAAGAGATGCTCAGCACCAATACATTGTTCACAATGGCTGAGAATGGCACACAGACACCAGACCATGCCAGAGCTGGGGGCTGCTGGCATAAAGCTTGCCCCGAATCACGTGATATAGTAACAGTCTCTTTGGTCGGGAGAATGGGAAGTTAAAGCACGCAAAGCATTGGATCAAGTCAGCGTTCCAGATTTTATTCACATTGAACTCGCAAATGGCTCATTCAACTAACAACATGAACAAGCTATTCCATTGAGCTTTGACAAAGGCATTCCTTTGATATTGTTGATACATTGATTTCTTGTGACTAGACTCGTGACTGGACTTGTGGACTCGACTACATCCCTGGCCCTTTTCCTGTAAATCATCATTTTTTTTTTTGGCCGTCCCTCCAGATACGATCCAACACTTGTGGAATCCATGCTTTAGACTTGACTCCAGTTGAAATTTCCAAAACAACGATATCTTCTTCAGGCTGGTTCATAGTCTCGGCCCAAGACTGTATGCTCAGAATTTCCTGGGTAGCGCTGCCGAACTTCCCAAGCCTGGATTTGAGTCGTCCTGTTGACAGCCGCCTCTACTGCAACACAGGCGTTTAACTGTGCGTGCTCCGTGCAATAACTACGTCCTCGGCGCTAGCAATACAAACATACGCTATTACTGTGGGACATTTAAGCAATGTTTCTTTCGTACATCCCTGCGTAGAAATGCGTTCTTCACACACGAAGTGTGGGTGCATTCTGTTCACAACGCTGGTCACAACTCACCGATGTGCAAACGCGACACGCTCTGTCTTGGCAATAGATAGTGGAACGCACCGTGCCGTTCACAGTCCCGAAACAGGATCCATTATATGCTGCAGATGACAAATTCCAAAATCAAGACAAAACTTCAGAAGCTACGAGCGGTGTGTACTGTGAGTCTAAGCAGTTCTCGTACATGCGCCTTCTCTGTCGATGGATGCATACTGCAGAAACAACCAAGATGCAAGTCGATACCAGCACGGATCCTTTCTCTAATATACGAGAGTGCGCAGTGGAACAGGCTCATCTGCTTCTCCGCTGCAGCCCAGAACATCTAAACTCTCTCCCCGTTTTTTTTAAAAAGCATAACGCTTTCATCATCACAAACTCGCTTTCTCTCTGCATAGAATCCGCACCAAAGTACATAACGTATTAACAGTGTCCCCGTTTATAAGTTCCCAGTGCCTTCTGCAGATTTTTTTCCAAATTCCACCGAAATTATCTGTTACGATTCTAAAAAAAGACGCAAAAATTGAGAAGTGCATTCAAAGTTGCTACTGAAACCTGGAGTAAAAAAACAGAAGAAGCAAAACCACGAGTAGAATCTATGTGCAATTCTAGATGACGTCAAAGGTGCACCCAGATTTTTTTTGTAAATTTTTTTTACAGTATTTTTTATCGAGGGGTCTGGGTACATCGGGGGTCGATTTTGCTATTTTGTTTCTGTTAATAGCCCTTGCGCTCCTCGGCCATGTAGAGGGCTATTCGTTTGCACAGCTCCGTGTCCGTCTCCTGGGGGAAGAGGCAGACCTCGTTCTGGGTGGTGGCCACGACTTTGTACAGACGCTGGAAGAGGCTGCACTTGCGGCCCCGCGTCTTCTTCAAGTTGGAGATGAAGATGTACTTGTCCAGGTACGTCTCGGCGTGCTCCACGAAGCGGGTCGAGCGGCTTTTCTGCGTGCAGAAAGAGAGACAAAAAAAAAAGCATAACGAGAGGGTAAAGACTGTCCAGTCAGTGCTTAAGGGCTACATGTATGACCGCAAATATGCCCCCTTATTAGTGAATACAAATTCACAAATTATCATTGGGGCCCAATTTCACGGCGCTGCGAAGCACACGATTTTCTGCTAACAGAGCCTCCGTCTATTTCATGGAGACCGTAAGCATAAGCACAGCAAAAGGCACGCTTACTTCAGAGGAAAAATTTGCTTAACTTAGTGACGTAACTATAGAAATCTCGATGCACACGCGACCGTTAGCACACACACGCCGTGAAATAGTGCTTAAGGTTAGCAAATTTTTCTGCTATGCTAAACACAGCTTTTCTGCTAACTGTTAATCAGCGCCGTGAAATTGGGCCCAGGTGAGTGCAGAAGTGAGGCGAGGAAGCCAATTGGGGGAGGGAGGCTGTGACTTTTTCAAATAATTTTTAGACCAGGCTGGCCATGAAAATTCAAAAGGGGGGTGGGGGTGGGGATGGGGCGCGGTGAGAGGGAGGGGGTGCTAGGGGTGGGGACAGGTTGGAGTGGGGGCACTGTGTATTTTGAACATGTTTACTGCATACCCACGAGGTGATTTTCCCTTTTAAAAACCTGGGCCTTTTCATACCAGGCTTTCAATGATTACAATGTATCTTTGACTGAGCCCTGTGTAACAATATCGTGGTTAAATCCTTAAAGGGAATGTATATCATTGGCTTTTGCTGTAATTTTCAGAAATGAACTATTTGAGAGGTTAGTATAATAGATCAAATATTGTTACACTGACATTTTTGAAGTTTGGTGTTCGAAAAGGTTGGAAAAACCAAGAAAAACAAAAATGTTCAAGTAGTCTGGTTCCCTGACTCAACAAAAAATAAAATGGATCAATTTATAGATGATGGAAAATTGTAAGGCAAGGGAACTAGTCTAGCTGGCCTGCACCCGTTCATGAACATGTAACCAATAGCAAACAAAATTTGGACTGAAAAAATTGGTAAATTTGGAGCAGAAGTTGAAAAATAGTTAGGTTTTTCCAACGCTGGTCGGCCGGCCACCGTTGGAAATGTTTACAAAAATACAATTTTCTTGAAAATGACTTCACACCAGGTGCCATAATTTTACAAGATGCTTGAGACTGTCATTTACCAACATCCTAGTAAGGTATTTCGTAAAAACTTGGTAGTTTCATTTTTCGATGTTTGCAAATGATGTATATTCCCTTTAAACATACTCTGTCTGATGTGTAGGATAGGAGTGTGGTGTCCGCGGCGTCGACTGCAAAAGCCTCCACCAACGGAGCAGACGTGTCAATGTGCCGGCACAGGGCAGCAAGAACTTTATCCTGCGACAAATAAAAATAAACAAGAGGAAAATACGCTATAACACCCAAATCAACAGACTTTAACACCAAAATCACCAGACTGAAACACCCATTTCACCAGACTTTAACACCCAAATCACCAGACTGTTCACCAAAATCACCAGACTGAAACACCCCATTCACTGGACTTTAACACCCAAATCACCAGATTTTAACACCCAAATCACAAGACTCTAACTCTCAGATCACCAGACATTTTGACACCTAAATCACCAAACTTTAACACCCAAATCACCAGACTCTAACACTCAAATTACCAGACTTTAACACCCGAATCACAAGACCTTGAAATCCAAAGCACAAGACTTTAACACCCAAATCACAAGACTTTAACACCCAAATCACCAGACCTTAACACGCAAATTACTGGCTTTAAACACCAGAATCGTGTCGAAAAATCTTTGCAGGGTGAGTTGACTTACTGGAGGGGCTTTGCTGTCATCCACAAGGTTCTTGAGAGTCACCGACTGCAGTGCATAGCGATCCATATCTAATCCGTCAAAGTCAAGCTCATCTGCACAAACACACCAAAGTAGACTTCGAGCGTTAAAAAACAGACACTACTCCGTTGAAGCGTTGGAATCACAAGTCAAATCACAAGTCAAATCACGAGTCAATTCACAAGTCAAATCACAAGTCAAATCACAAGTCAATTCACAAGTCAATTCACAAGTCAATTCACAAGTCAAATCACAAGTCAATTCACAGGTCAATTCACAAGTCAATTCACAAGTCAAATCACAAGTCAAATCAAAAGTCAATTCACAAGTTAATTCACAAGTCAATTCACAAGTCAATTCACAAGTCAATTCACAAGTCAATTCACAAGTCAAATCACAAGTCAAATCACTAGTCAATTCACAAGTCAATTCACAAGTCAATTCACAAGTCATCCACAAGTCAATTCACAAGTCGATTCACAAGTCAATTCACAAGCCAATTCACAAGTCGATTCACAACACCAGTTAATTCACAAGTTAATTCACGAGTCAAATCACAAGTCAAATCCCAAGTTAAACCGCAAGTCAATCACAAGTCAAATCACAAGTCAATTCACAAGTCAAATCCCAACTCAAATCCCAAGTTAAACCAAGTCAATTCGCAAGTCAAAAAACAATAGCGGGATGAACAATGACAAAGGAATGTCTTTTATTCACAGTTGATTTGAATAAAATGTGACTGGACTTGAGACAGGAAGACTTGTGTTTGACTTGTGATTGACTCATGGTGACTAGTGTTTGACGTATGAACAACAAAGTGCCTTCTTCAAAGTTGATGCAAACAGATTGTGACTTGATTTTATGACTTGTGATTGACTTGCGTTGAATGAGTGGATTACATCTCTGCTCTGTTGTCAATAATCCAGCTGCTGGCCATATATGTTGTGTCCTTAGGCAAGCCACTTCACCACCACTTGCCTCTCTCCACCCAGGAGTACAAATGGGTACCGGCATTAGCTGGGGAGTAAACTGCGATGGACTAGCATCCCATCCAGGGGGAACAGAAATATTCTCAGTCGTTTCATGCTACTGAAACCGGAGATAAACGCCGGCCTGATGGGCCACATTGGCTCATGACAGACTTTACTTTTTTACTTTACTCTGTTGTCAATAAACATTAACCCATAACCACTTGTGGGAGGAACACACTCTTTGTGCGCGCTCACTGGTTCACGTGCATATGGCGTGAAACGTTTTTATAACTGCACGGGGGTACTTGTTCACTAGTCTGAGTATCACCCGTTCTCCATGGAGCTCTGTCTCTGGTCAAACGTCTGATACATCTAAGCAGGCAAATTTATGCGACCCCGCGCACCAGCCAATCGAAGTCGACTTGACTAAATCCTGACATCATTTCATTCCCAAATCTGGACTTAAGCTTTGATTGGTCAATTGGAATGCAGTGTTTTTGTAATACAACACTGGCCGGGCAAAGATCTAAAAAAACCTAGACAAGCTTGGCGCGGTGTACGCGTATCGCGAAACATAATACAGAGCGCGTAACCGCAGCCTCTGTTTGCTCAGTTCACAGCGTATTATTGTCGTGTCTAGGTTTTATTAATCCAGATGTCTACGACGCGACAACGGGTGCATGACCGAAGACCCGATGTAGAAAGCGCCCGCTGATTGGTCAAAATCTAGAGGTCAAGAGGCGGTTGTCTTGCATAATTAATCGGTGAATCTGATCAGGTAGCAAAGCTTTTCGCAAGGGTCTATTACACAGACTACTTGTTAACGGCATCCATAGTGAATTCTTCCTATAAGCAAAAAAAAAAAACAATTCTCACCAAAAGCAAAAATGATGACCGTGTTGACCGTCCTGATGGGCTCCAACTCGAGCTGGTGGCCGAAGAAATCGCTGACCCGGTGCCAAATGAGGTCAGCCACTCCGCAGGCTACGTCCACGGTCACAAGGCGACCCGACGACGTAAAGTAATTCAGGAAGTTCTTGACGCTGGACGTGTACAGAGCGTTACGCCTCTGTGGGGAGAAGTAAGACAAAGAGAAAAAAGTCTTTGTAATTCCCATTCTGGATGTGTGCACCATAAAGCATGCAAGTTGACCTGCATTTAAAAATCGACAGGATTTAATGGGAATACGTTATTTCTGGGCACACTGTAAAGGATTGATGTGATTTCTGGACACATTGGGCCAAAAAAAAAGAGTATCCGGTTTCTGGTATGGAGCTTGCCCAAAAAGTGGTGCGGTGACGCGGCTTTTTTTTTTTTTACCTGTTTTTTTTGCTTCAAATGTCAGCTGATGACTGCAAATGGTGCCCGACTAAACTTAGTGTAAATATATGGGAGTCCAGAGAGGCCACATAAAGCTTATTCTCGATCATAACCCCATCTAAAAACACGTTAAAATTGTGCAGCAGCAGGATTCCAGTCAAACCAGTGAGTTTGGTGGTTTTGAGACATCATCTTTTATTGAAAAAAAAACTTTTTAATTTTGCCGACGCGCATGGCTACGGCGACGCGTGCGCATACCAGACATGCCAGAAACCGGAGGCTTATTTTTTTGGCCTTGTATAGGAGTATTTTTTTGTTTGGTGCAACAAAAGAGCTCAAAATCTATTAACAAATAACCTGGGGAAGTTTTAGCTCTGTGAATGCTGTATATTCTGCGAAAAAACAAAGTTCTAGGAGCTACGTTTTCAATTCAAAATTTGCCGGCTCATGATTTGAATTACACCCCAAATCAGCGCCTGGGACACGTTCTCATTCAGTCGATTGCAGCTACGCGATGTCGCGTTGTTGAACTGATGAATAATAGCAACCGCGCACGCGTGTGTGTCGTGTCAACGCTTGCACGCACCCATTCACAGATTACAAAATGAACTACTAACGGAAATTTCCAATGATGTGTCACTTGACGAATCATAGGAAATGGCCTTCTTTCATTGTTTTCTTCAAAATGAGAGCTTGCCACAAAGAATAATTTGACAGGGAGTTTAATGCCATTGCTATCTTTAACCCAAGTAAGTTTTCAACAATAATACCGTCAGTTAGTTTTTGGATGGCTGCAAATGATTTACCCTACTGGTACCTTTAATGTTCATCTCTGATTACTTCTGACCTGACTTGTCAATTGATTTGTGATTGGCTCGATTGCAACTCTGCCAAACAGCCCCCTGTTTTGACTGACCTGCGTTCTGCTGGTGTCTGCTTCGTCGCTCTGCCCCGCCTCCTTCATCTTGTCAGGATGCTTGGCGCTGTGGGCCGTGATCTGCTTGATGACCTTCTCTTCGGGGATGGCCAGGTTCAAGGCGAAGACGTTGTGGAACTGCAAACAATCCATATTACACACGATTATACTGTAGTATATCTCAGTAAATGTGTACATGTATGTGTGCACAGCATCATGTTCACATACCGGTACATGGTTTCTTATGGGGCAGTAAAACACAATAAAACAATACGGGGTGAGTAAAAAAAACGAAACCCAAATGTTGGGACTATTGTTTTAGTGAAGTTCTGCATGTAGTACTTTCAAAACCTAGGATAGAAAACCCAATGCATAACCTTTCTTTTAGTACAAGAACCATTCAAATCACTTACGTACTTTTTAAGTTACAGAATTTTAAACACAACCACCGTTTTAAGGTTCTGTCCATGGATCACAAAAAAATTCAGTGTTCTTTCAGCAAAACGAAAACAAATCACATAGGCACACGTGTGACTTGTTTTCGTTTTGATGAAAGAACGCACGCCTTTTTTTTTGTGATCCGTGGACAGAACTGGTGGTTGTGTTTAAAACTCTGTAACTTGAAAAGTATCGTCGAATCTTGCTGTGCACCAGACTATTTTGGAATACCGAACTGGCTCATTGACGGTCATGACTACAATGCTTTTTTTTTTTTTAGCATTGGCAACGAATCGACCAGTCGCACTAGTCATAGCGGTACATGCCTTGTTGCAATGCTCCTAGTCAGCCTTCCTTTGTGGTTTAGTTGAGGGGGAAAAATAAAAAAAATTAGACATACTCCAAGGATGTCTCACCCTTTTCTCAAAGTTCTTCATGTCGTACTCGGGATCCTGGATGTACTTCTCACAGCGCAGTAAGAATCGCAGGTTGGGCATGATGTCGATGATGTGAGGGCGCTTTGGGTCTTTCTCGATCTCGTTGCCGATCAGCTCGAGAATCCACTCCAGCGACAAGAGAGATTGATTGTCCTGAGACCAAAAAAAACAAAAAAAATATTGTTAAAAATAGTGCAAATGTTTTCTAGCTGTACGTGAAGCACGGTATTTGAGTACCTAATTTATGCATGTTATTCAATAATGTTCCAAGCATGTGCATGTAAGTGGCTCTAGAAGTTTCTCTTCAAAACATTACCTTTTAAGCGAATATGGAGAGGCACAAATTTATCACGTAATGATGAAATAAAAGTAATAATAAATTGATTTGATCATTAAACATGTTAAAGGTAGGGTAGATCATTTGTCATTTGTGAATTTTTTTCGTTTGAAGCAACAAAAGTGCTCAAAATCTAAAGTACCCATCTAAAGATGGGTGCTTAACAACTAACCTGATGAAGTTTCAGCTCAGTGAATGCTATACATTCCGAGAAAACAATATTCTAGGATCTTGATTTTATTCAAAAAGTTGCCGAGTCATGTTTTGAATTGTGCCTGAAATCAGCATTCGGAACATGTTGTCATTCAGCTGATTGCAGCTACGCGATGTCACGCACTAAACCGACGAATAATAGCAACCGCACACTCGTGTGCGTCGGGTTAATGCTTGCATGCAACCATTCATGGATTCGTCAAATGACAAACAACCACTAACAGAAATTTCCAAAATTGAGTCACTTGACGCATCTTTGGAAACGTTTATTTTTTTTCCAAATTGACAGTATGCCAGACATGCCAGAAGGAATAATTTCACAAGGAGTTTAGTGTCATTACAATATCTTTAAACCAAGGGACTTATGCTTTTCAACAATAATTTGATCAGTTACATGTATTTTTTGGATCAAATGATGCAAATAATCTACTCTACCTCTAAAGGCATACGATCATTTCCTTTTGAAGCTTTTGTCTTCGTTTCCAATTATAACATCACTAAAATCCAAAGGCGAACGTTCAAGAGCTAACCTACACTTTTTGAGAAAACAGTGAAAAACCCATGCACAGCCTTTTGATCCAAAACACCATTTTTTTCAATAGAACTCTTTATTTCCAACAATTAGTCAAAATTGTCTGACCTTTGGAAATCACCTACATTTCTTGATTCTTCTATGCATGTAAATGACACCAGTGGAGTGTCATGGCCTAGCGGTTAAGAACACCGGAGTCTTGCTCTGGTGTTTCAGAGGCAACAGTGGCGTGGGTTCAAGCCCGGGCCCAGACACTTGTGCCCTTGAGCAAGGCACTTAACCATTATATTGCTTCGTCCTTCGGATGGGACGTAAAGCCGTAGGTCCCGTGTGTTGTGTAATGCACGTTAAAGACCCCAGTAACACTTATCGCTAAGAGAAGGGGTTTGCCCCGGTGTTTCTGGCAGTGGCTGCGATATGCACCGCAGCACCTTGTCACCCTTAAAGGTGCTACATAATGGGTCTCATATTTCTCATATCGAGGGCCTCCAAGGAAAGCAGTGCCCTGCACTGATCGGAGCTACCCTCACTAAAGATGACGTAAATAAAAGCCACAAGGAATAGTTTAGTACCAGTACCAGTACGATCTTTAATACAGATAAGCTTTTGCATAATACGTGTAATTCGCCTGGTTTACTGTATGCAAATGAGCCTTTGTGCCTTGAAAAACTTAGGTTTCATATCAAAACTGACTCATACACTCTAGCCTTGGCATGTTTGGTGGACATTGTCAGGACTACATTTTTAAAAATTGTTGTAATGTCATCTTTTGTAAATTGGGCAGCAGTGCGGTTTTGCCATGCAGTGCACCGAAGCATGTAATAAACAGCACAGCAAATGCATACTGAACAGTTAATTAACATGTTAGCTGTTATCAATGCATGCAATCCTCCCCATCCCCACCTCCCACCCCACCCACCCCCTCAAAAAAAAATCAAATTAAACGACCACCATCCCACCTATTTTTCGTGCCTTAAAAATATTGTGCCAAACAGAAATTCACCTACATGTATTCCCCACCCTATTTTTTTCTCAATGTACTACATGTACATGTAGGAAACAACTTTTTTCTTGGCCTTATTCAATACAATGCACAATGCACTGTAGGCAATGTACATTGTCCTCCTACTAAGCTTTAAATGGGTCCGCCCTGTCTCACAACAGTTGCAGACTTTTTATCAAAGACCAGTACATTGCATACATCTGTCATTCGTCCTCCACTTAACCTTTCTGCAGATCACTGAAGGGAAGGGCGGGCAAATTGCAGACTCATCAACCTCACCAAGAATCCTACATGTACTTAGAAATGGCATGATTCATGTGCAATTGGGAAGATGGGCCTGTATCTGTTGTGATTAATAAGCAGGCTTTTACTTGCATGAATACCGTACATGTAACGGTAGGCCTTGTCGCAGAGAAAATGCGCTGAGGATATACACAGTACATTGTACATCATGTCAGGTACTGTATACATACGTGTATAGTATTCTTTGCCATGGCATATAAAAGAGAGGTTTCGCATCTAAACGGATACATGTACATGTACGCAAACATTTAGCTATCGGTAACCATTAGGCCAAAAAAAAGAGTCTCCGGTTTCTGGTATGCGCGCGCGTGGCCGTAGCCATACGCGTCGGCAAAATGAAAAAGTTTTTTTTTCAATGAAAGATGATGTCTCAAAACCGCCAAACTCACTGGTTTGACTGGAATCCTGCTGCTGCACAATTTTAACGTGTTTTTAGATGGGGTTATGATCGAGAATAAGCTTTATGTGGCCTCTCTGGTCTCCCATAATATTTGCACTAAGTTTAGTCGGACACCATTTGCAGTCATCAGCCGACATTTGAAGCAAAAAAAAAACCAGGTAAAAAAAAAAAAAAAAGCCGCGTCGCCGCACCCCTTTTTGGGCAAGCTCCATACCAGAAACCGGGGACTTTTTTTGTGTGGTCTTATCAACCATTCTGTTGTTACGCAACTGGTAAACTAAACATTGAGCATTAGTTTGACATAAAATTCCCTACCTGGGTTCATATTAACCCTTACTCTCTGAGGGTAGTTTACTGCATGTCAGTTGGTTATGCCAATGCCCTCCAGCTGCAGTTTATTGGAGGATACTTTGATGTAGCAGTGAAGGCTCCAATTGGCAGGAGTTGGAGGCCCTGGAGGGTGCCTGATACTGACCAGCTGGGGGCACTCACTTTGTTATCAGAGGACTCTCATTGTTCTCTGTGGCATGTATTGGAGTGCCTGTCCAGTTACCCTTGAAATGACATGGCAGATATTGGAGGGCCATGCAAAAAACATAGGAGATTTTCTTGAGGCACAATTGGCATGCGTTGGAGGGTCAAGTAGGGTAAGGGTTAATTATTATTCATAAATACCTCCGACAGTTTAGCCATTCCTATTGGTCGAGAGCCCATCACGTGGCCGGTCTTAAACGGATGATAAAGACATGGCTAGCTGGTCTTAAACACTTTTCCAGTGTCACATAAAATGTGGACTCCTAAAAATCCAGTGCCTCTTACCGTTTCATTGGTTGAACGTTCACAGTCCTCACGTAGGCATGCGCAACACTACCAGGGAGTCAGAATTTTATAGTTCTAAATTCAAAACGCAACGCGCCAGGTGCGTTCTACGCGACATCGCACTGAACGTGCCGCGCGCGCGTCAATCTCCATAAAAGGGTTGTTTACATCTTAATCGCCAGCTGAACACTCCATTATTTAGCTTGAACAAAATTGGGATTTTTTGACCAAAATATTATATTTTTTTTAACCGAAAAGGCATTTATGAATGGGAATAAATATGTGCTCGGTCGGTATTAATCACTCTGTTTAAGACCGCTTGGAGTCTGGGCGGCTCGGGTAATTATCAGCACCCAGACTCTAAGCGGTCTTAACCCTAAAGGGGCCGGGTTATTTTGACCATCTCTCAGCCGGGGGGGGGGGGGGGGGGGGGGGGGGTGGATTCCGCCCCCCCCCCCCCTAAGATCTCGGCCATCGAGTGACGACAATTTTTGAAACTCACTACATGCATAGAACAACTCTTCCTCAACATGCCCAAGAAATTTCATGACTATAGGTCAAAGGGTTTGGGAATTATGGCTAATTAATTATTCATATGTATGAATGCCAATTCTGCTCGGTGTACACGACGTTTATGCGAAAATTCAGTTTTCACGGCGCGTAGCGCCGGAAAATTTTTCGCTACGTGCAAACCCGTGGTCCGATTTTTATGTTTTTGGTATCAAAAGATGCGCAAAGCTCGAGGCTAAAAAGTCATAATAGCTCGGGTCGCGAAAAAATTTTTTTTAGAAGCTATCGCGGAAAATGTTGAGGGGGGGGCGGATTCCGCCCCCCCCCCGGCCCTTTTAGGGTTAAACAGAGTGATTTAAACCTCTCGAGCACACATTTATTCCCTTATTTATTTCTGGTAACGAAACCAAGGATTCCTCAAAAGCACCCTAGGCACTGTAGCTCGAAAGCCTGAAGAAAGAAGACAATCGGAAGAAATTACAGTTTCAGAGGTGGGAGGAAAACCGCAAAGGAATGCTCCTTAGGTAAAACCCACGGAATCAGGCAGGGACTGAAAACCCTATCCACATGTGGACCGGGGCAGGAATACGGGCACGGGACTGGGCACTACAAAGGGCTCCCAAAAGAGGTTTGTTTTGCACGAAGATGATTAACGGGGTAGGCATACCTGGCAGCAACTCGTTTTGACAGTCTGATTCGCTGCCGAACTGGAACTGAACCAATGTTTGGATAAAAAGTGCCAAACCAAACACGAACTGAACACGAACCAAACCCAATGGCTCACTAACAGCACTACCTGACTCTATAAGTGACCTAGGCCCAATTTCATAGCGCTGCTTAACAGCCGACTTTGTGCTTACCGAGCGTCCATCTATTTCATAGGGACCGTTAAGCAGTAAGCACAGCAAAAGCACGCTTAACCCCAGAAGAAAACTGTGCTTAAATCAGTGACGTAACAGTAGAAATCTCCATGCGCGCAACCGTTAGCATGAAATAGTGCTTAAGCAGCAGCATGATTTTCTGCTATAGTAAGCAC